TGCTTAGTTGCTGGCTGGGGCTAAACCACGACAGTAACCTTGCCCTAGACAATTATGTGCAGGGGACAATCATTCAAATTGCTACACCTGAGAAGAATAAAATATGCCTCTCCTCTTCAAAGATGAGCAGGCTATGTCTACACTATCAAGTAATACTATGTGAAGCAGCTGGTTATGGCAATCATATGTTTGTTTACACTACAAGCATTTTGGGAGTTTACTCTGGACTACTCCTGACCTTGTCCCTTGGACTGGCAGCTTATTAGCCCTGTGAATACAGTAGCTGCGCTCCTGGAGTGTATATCCCTGTTTAGCTTCATCTGAAAGAGATGCAGTTTACAGACTGAGAGGCTGCTACACAGAGCACACCAAAGCGTAGTAAGTGGGAGCGATGAGGATATTAACCTGTTTCAAGTGGAAAGACTGTTTTAATCCATCCAAAAGAAACCTGAAAAGAAAAAGAATCTGACATTCCTTTGGCTATTGCAAAATTAATGCCTAGATGATTAAGGTTCACTTTTCCTTAAGGATGCAAACCAAACATCAGGCAGATCAGTAAGTGAACAATGCTTTTAGTTCATCCCAAGAGAGGCACCGAACACCTGGTTTTAGAGACTGTGTATAACTATTATGTTGTTTTATATGCAGGGAAAGCATGGCAAAGAGAAGGAAGTGGCATGCCTACATAGCCATGCCAGCTCTCCTTTGCTAACAAGATATGACTACAGTACTGCACTATACTTTGCAGGAATACAGCCCAAGCAACTGACTCAACCTCACTTCACAAACCAGCCAACAATCAGGGACTACAATACACTACTGTTCCTTCAGAGGGAAAAAAAAAAACCAAACACCACACCAAAAAACCAAACAAAAACCACAAAAGGGTATGCATGTATTTAGTCTCAGGCTGAGTCCATAACAGCACGCTAATGCTTCGTATGAAAATTAAGGAAGATTCAAGACATCAGCTCATCCACCTCATCTTGCCTGCTGAGGTTCCTGTGACAACAGACTAGACAACCTTACTCAAACACATCCTCATCTAAGGATGCAATCACTCCACAGAACAGGCAGCTCCATTTTAAGTTGGCAGAAGGCCTCAATCCATTAGGCATACTCATAGCACAACCAACACCGCATCAGGATCAAGTCTGACATCAGCAACCATCCTTCAAAATAAGAAGCCAGTGATTGCAAGCATGAACTTGAACACTGAAGATAAGAAACTCATGTTATGTGCCCTCCTTGGGCCTAACAGAAGGCTTGAAGTCACACCTACATTTCAAGAAAAAGTCCTAGCCAGCAGGTACAAAGAAATGGAGGATGAAGGGGAAGTGGCAGGATGAGTTAGGGCACTGCCCGCTTTTCTTTTGAACCGGGTCATTGTGGGAACTGAAATGCAGGAGTTATGTGGCCAGAAGGCACTCTGGTAAGAGCAATAGATACAAACCACCTTGAGCTGCAAAATGTCTCAAGGCTAACATTCCCCTTTCTGAATGAATGAACTAGCAAGTAGTACAGTGTAAGAGGCAAGTGAAAACCTGCTCTTTATCTACAAATGCAAATAATGGTGTAGCTTTACAGGCAGCTGGGATTACCCAATAGCTTGCTGTGACCTGCAAGCAAGTTTCACTTTCCCTGGCCCAAGGAACCTGGTCCTACTTTCCTCCTTGCTCTGTTTTTTGACACTCATCAGACCCCTCCTTGAGGCCAAACTCATTAAACTGGCAGAGAACTCTCTAGTTTTCTGAAGACAGATGGAAGATAAAAGTGTGCAACCGAGAGGAAGGAAGAAGAGGAAATGGGTAGAGGCACTATCACTTTTAAGACAGCTGGCTGTTAAATTATCTCACCATGTCTTGTTGAACCCCAGTCTTATGCAGTGGGCTCAGGACTACAGTTAAATGCTTCTGTGAAGCAGATTCAGACGAGTCTCGAATACAGCATCTTTTGCTTTGCCAGGTGGTTACTGTGAAATGTATCCCAGGACATTTATTTTCCCCATTTATCTCGCAGTCATTTCAGGAGCCTAATTCAACAGTACAGAGTCTAATCTCAGATTTGGGTATCTAAACCTTTCACCACTGCAGAGTGGAGAAACAGACGACTACCCTCCTTTGGATGGTTTCTCACCAAATATTAAAAAAAATTTAATACCTCTTGCCATGTTGTACCAGAGCATGAAAGCATAATGGATATGCAAAGCTGATTTTGTAACAAAATAATCCACACCTAAGTTTTATTTTAAAATTGCTGCATAAAGCAGGTGAAAATGGTCTTCCTTTAAAATAAAACTACCTGCAATATAAACTGTATGCCCTCTAGAATGGCAAAAAAGAAAGCCTCAAAAATAGCTGAAGTTTACTGATAGGTTTTCAAAGGTTTTATATATATAACAATTTAACAAAAATTAATAAGATAACCCCTAGCATAACAGAGACCAGTCACTTAGCTTCGGTTTAATAGAAAAAATTAGAAGTACTTCTGGTTAAAATTGGTCTTGCCCTGTAACACATAGTGTAGAAATACATTGCAATATTTTTTTTTTTTTCAATGCACGAACAGTTTAAGTAGTTGAAGCAGAAAATTAAAACCACCTCAAAATTTCATACAAATCAAGAAACAGGATACCTGGGATTTTTTCGTATGTCATCCAGCTGGCCAACTACATGAGAGACATTTGTGCGAATCATTTTGAAAGCAATTTCCTCTTCTCCCATGATTTCAAACCTTATTGTTAAAAAAATATTTATACGTTACTAGAACAACCCTCAAGTCAGGTTCAATAAATATTAATTTAATATTTTATTTAATAACTTATTTCTGACTGTCCGACCTTCATAGAATTTATAATTTGAATTATATCAGTATATTTACATTTTTCAGCTAATGTTCTTGTACAGAACCACTTCCCTGTAGATTTATTAGTAGCCACCCATAAACAGAACTGAATTCTAATACAAATTATGTAAACTACAAGTTGGCATAAGAGTAACAATTATATCTGAAAGTAGACACTTATTATGCTTTTTTTTAAACATACGAAATTTACAATTTTAATTTGTAATTACACTTCAGACATGAGAAAACATGTTCTTATTATCCAATCGCCAGTCCCAGAAAAAAATCTTAAAATAAAATTACAGAAGAGTATATAAAACTACAGCTTTAAATACAAATAAATCCTTCCTCACCCACCTAATCAGTAACTTGCAGACAAAACAAGTATATGAAATGCAGAAGTATATAATTTCTGAAGGATATCTTGAGTTTAAAAGGGGGTCAAATGCTTTTTCAACAGTCTTACTAGAGGTACCACACTTACATTTTTCACCTTTCTTATCCTTATAGAAGCAGAGACCCTGCCTGCTCCTTGAAGTCTCACCTGAGAACATACTCTGTTAATTTTGTGAGCTTAATAGATAATAGTTATTCAATATTGAAGTTCAACAGAACAAAAGAGCAGCTTATAGCTTAAACTGACTTATACTACTGTATTTATATCATTAACCACAGCAAATCCTTGCCTCCAGCCCAGTATTTTTCAATCTCATTTGTTGTGTTAGCTTTTCAGTTTTAGCATAAACTCTACTGGGAAGAGAATTATTTATAAAGCTTACAGCACAGCTTGAGGTACCATGAATTAATGTGTAATAAATGTCCAAAAGCTGCCCTAAACGGCATCTGTAACCTTCTTTCATTCTACAGTTTTATTTGACTTTGTAGCCACTCCTGGGGCAACTGCATGCTTCAGAGATTTCCCCATTACTCTCCCCTGCCCAACACCGCTGCAGGAGACAAGGCTGTAAGCTCCACACCACCAAAGAGCCTCACTGGTTTCAGTGAAGAAAGAATAGAATCATAGAATGCTTTGGGTTGGAAGGGACCTTTAGAGACCATCTGGCCCAACCCCCCTGCAGTGAGCAGGGACAGCTTTAACCAGAGCAGGGTGCTCAGAGCCCCGTCCAACCTGACCTTGAATGTTGCCAGGGATGGGGCCTCCGCTGCCTCTCTGGGCAACCTGTTCCAGTGCTTGACCACCCTTCATTGTAAAGGATTTCTTTCTTATATCCAGTCTAAATCTACCCTCCTTTAGTTTAAATCCATTACTCCTTGTCCTGTCACAACAGGCCTTGCTAAAAAGATTGCCCCCTTTAAGTATTGAAAGGCCGCAATAAGGTCCCCCCCCGCAGCCTTCTCTTCTCCAGGCTGAACAACCCCAACTCTCTCAGCCTGGCCTCGTAGGAGAGGTGCTCCAGCCCTCGGATCATTTTGGTGGCCCTCCTCTGGACCCACTCCAGCAGGTCCATGTCCTTCTTGTGCTGAGGGCCCCAGAGCTGGACGCAGTACTCCAGATGAGGTCTCATCAGAGCAGAGGGGCAGAATCCCCTCCCTCGACCTGCTGGCCACGCTTCTTTTGATGCAGCCCAGGATTCGGTTGGCTTTCTGGGCTGCAAGCACACATTGCTGGCTCATGTCCAGCTTTCCATCCACCAGTACCCCCAAGTCGTTCTCCGCAAGACCTGAGAGAACCTGATCTCAGGCAGATCTACGCAAATACAGTTATTCAAACAAACCCACAGTCATTATCATGGTTTGTCCTGCCCTTTCCAAAGGGGATGGAAACCCTTTTCTTGTCCCCCTCCCTCCCTACCGTCACTCCTTCTCCTTGCAGGAAAACTACAAGGTAGTTAGGGCTAAAATGCTTTTTCTTTTATTTTCTCTTTTTACGCTTCAGTAGAAGAAAGAATGAAGCAGATTTACAACTTCTAGGTACAGGACAGGCTCTTTCCTCCTTTTTATGCTACTTTAACTGCCCTCACTCACTACCTATACTCAATTTATATAGCCATCTAAAGATACTCTGGCTTACTGTTCTACAACACACCTTGGGCCAGATCCTAATTTGACACAAGTAGCATGGAAATATTTATTCTACTAAATAAGAAACTATGAAAAAAATCACATCATTCTGCACAATGAAACATACATAAGTAGGTATCAGCATATTTCTTCAGTTCCACTGTTAAAATAAATTGAACTAAGATTTGTTAATATACAATCTTTGGTCATGTATGTATTTATACCTCTTCTTATCACTTTACAAAACCTAGTATGGCTTTTCACAGGACTGTAACAACATACCTGTATTTGTTTTTGTCCTTGTATGCCTTACGAATTCTGTCAGTCACAGGTTTGCAATTAGTCACTAGGTTTTTTGTTACTGGAGGCTGGAAGAAAACATTGTTTAGATTATAGGTTACTGAAAACTACGGAGTCTGTTATAAAGATGTACTTTGTAGAAAACTTCTACTACAGCTAGAAAGGCCTGTGTATGCTTTACTCTCCTGGAATGAAAGCAGTAGTTTCTTGATCAACTGTTGAGGGGAAAAAAAAAAAGATACTGGTGCATAACATCACGATTTCCTATGCATACAATTACTGTTTGAAAAATACAGATTATTTTCAGCAAAAACATTGCAACTTCTAGATTTCATCCTTAATAAAATACTCAGAATTGTAGCTCATTTGATAGTTGTCTTTCATATTCCTCGGGTAAAGGCAACCAGTAACACTGCCCAGACAAACTCTGCAGAACAGCTGATACACATTAGGCCTTACTTCTATCGCAGGCTATGTTGAAATGATTCTGGGAAATAAAATGCCTGTTCTCAAGGGATATTTCTATGGTAGTAGACTCCTTCCAAGAAATTTAGCTGTTGCAGATAGCAGAAGTAAAAATAAATTAGGCCTCTGTGTTAAACACAAACACTATTTTGTCACTATTTGAACTGACTGATAACATCAGTATGTTAGGCATTACTGCATAGATTAATAGTATTTTACTAATTCTCCAAAAATATTAAAGTAATTTGACATTGTTCCCAACCACTGAGACTTAAAGCATATTTATGGCAGCCATCTGTTATTACTACTCTTCAAAGTTTATACTTCACAGAATTTTGCAAACTAAATTGAGAGTCATAATGAGGCAAAATGAGTAAGGCTATTCTGCATGTAATGTTGCAGACTGTGCAGGATTCTTAAACCCACACTTCCATTTCTTCAAATGAGGCTGACAGAATGGCTTTATATAGAACTTTGCTGAAATTCAAACATAGGGGAAAATATTTTTAAAGCCTTGTAACATAACCTGATAAGAATACAAGGCAGGATAGGTGTCCAGAGGGTTGAAAAGAAAAAAAGAAAAAAGAAAAAAAAAAGTCAGTGTCCATATGCATTTATCTACACACACGTTGTAGATCTCTGTACTATGGTTTGCATGTGTTGGGGATCAATAATGCTCTTCTATTTCCCAACAATTCATGATATGTACTCATCGAAATTATTTTTGCTTTGATACAGTATTGGTCTGAAGCTATAAAACACCAGGTCATTAATTTAGCAAAGTACATGCACACATTTTTTTCAAATGCATAGGTTGATGCAGGGATTAGACTGTCATTGTAAAAGAAATTTCAGTATTAGTATCAGATCTAAAGATTCTAGATTCCTAAATTCCAGCAGATTTTAATGAGAATTTAACCACTAAAATAAAAATTAAGGACTTAAATCCTTAAGGAACATCTAGTCCCAAGACCTCAGTTTTCACAGAATCACAGAATGGTTTAGGTTGGAAGGGACCTCAGGAGCTCATCTGGTCCAACACCCCTGCTCATGCAGGGCCACCTAGTGCCAGTTGCCCAGGACTAGGTCCAGATGGCTTTTTAATATCTCCAAGGATGGAGACCACCCACAAATGGGCAACCTGAACCAGTGCTTGTCACCCTCACAGTAAAAAAGTGTTTCCTGATGATCGGAGAGACCTTCCTGTGTTTTCAGTTTGTGCCCATTACCTCTTGTCCTGTCACTGGGCACCACTGAGAAGAGCCTGGCTCCATCTTCTTTGTGCCCTACCTTCAGATATTTATATTCATTGATGAGATCCACCCCTTGAGACTACTCTTCTTTAGGCTAAACAGTCCCAGTTCTCTCAGCCTTTCCTCATAAAAGAAATGCTCCAGCCGCTTAATCACCTTCATGGCCCTTCACTGGACTCCCTCCAGTACGTCCATGTGTCCCTTGCACTGAGGAGCCTGGAACTGAACACAGCACTCCAGATGTGGCCTCACCAGTGCTGAGTAGAGGGGAAGGGTCACCTCCCTTGACCTGCTGGCCAATTTGTCTAATGCAGCCCAGGGTACCACTAGCCCTCTTTGTGGCAAGGGCACACTGTTGGCTCACATTCAACTTGGTGTCCACCAGGACCCCTAGGTTCTTTTCTGCCAAGCTGCTTTCCAGCTGGGTAGCCCCCAGCATAATACTGGTACATGGGTTAGTTCCTCCCCAGCTGCAGGACTTTGCACTTCTCCTTGCTCAATTGCACGAGGTTCCTGTCAGCCCATCTTTGGAAGTTAAAAGGAGTTAGTCTGAAGCCTTCAAAGTAGGAAGAATTCTTCTAAAGATATCCATCTGATGGTCTGGAGTTTTTGGGGGGTTTTGTTTTCAGTTTAAATACATGGGTTATAATTCAGATAGACTTATCAGAAAGTTCCAGTCAGAGAGGTATTGGGCTTATTTTCTTTTTGGTTCACAGCAGTGAATTTTCCTAGCAAGGATGACTTTTTAAATCCCATATATAATAACATTCTAAAGCTCAGCTTTTCTCTTTTTTTAAAGGAAATTAACAGCTTTATAAGGTAGGAAGTAGCTTGTAAAATTTTTATTTTAGAACACTTCATGTACACACAAGTAGAAATTTTTGTAAATACTTTCCTTCTAGAAATCACACCAGCTTTTCAAGCACAGTAAATACATGCTCAGGAAAGAAACTAAGCATCTTTTAACACCAATGTTTCTTACCAGATTGGGATCATAATATGCTTCCTGAGTTGGTGGAATGACATGGATCTGAGTGATGTTGGCAGGAAGAGCTTTAGAGCAATTTATTAGCATTTGTTCTAGACCCGTCAAATCCTAACAGAAAGAGAAGGAAAAAGAAAAGATAATCCTGTTTTCTCACTGACATAGTTTTAAAAACCCTGGGTGCACAGGCATATTTAATGTTACCTACAGAAGAAATTTCCATGCTACTGTTGGAAAAAGAACTGCTGAAGTCAGTGAGACTCCCCATATGCCCAAAGTAAAGCAAATGCTCAGTGCGTAGTTGAACTGAGACCAGATATAGCATGACTTAATGTCATTTTCATTTAAAAATGAAAACCACACCTTTACAGTGGCATATTAAACCACAAATCAAGCAAACAAACAGAAAAGTGAACTAAAAGGACCGGAAGAAGTTTTTCTGACTAAGGTACAAGTCAGGAACACACTAAAGTAGGGCTGCGTTCCAGCTATCCCAATGATTTTATGTGCTATTTCAAGAACAAATTATTTTATTGGTTTGTGCCAATTCCTCTCTGTAAAGCAGAAATAGTACACTTCGTTCTCTACTGTCTCTAAGAGCGTAAGTCCTACAAAGACCATGTCTCTCTGTTTATCAGGTTCCCAGAAAAACAGAAATGTGAATCTTTGTATATGGCCATAGTATTTACTAGTATGACTGCTTTGCTACCCTTTTTCTCACTTCTTTCGTTAGGCCACAAGTTCCTCAGGGCAAGGACTGTCTTATACTATGTGCAAGAACAAGAATAAGCACAGATCCCACTCTTCACAGTGGTTTTTACCAGTGAACATCTTTTCTGACAGACTCACGCTAACTGCTTTCTTTAACTTGAACACCAGTGATACATTTTTCTGATGCTGCTAGGACTCAATTTAATTGTTTACTCCATATAACAATGACAAAGTAGAACACAATGTTATATTCTCCATATAAAATTTAAGAATTGCCAAGTGTTATAGATGCTATACGCAAGAATAAATAAAGATTTGACTCATTTTAACAGTTTTGGACTTTAAAACTGAAGTTACTCTAAAAGTTATCGGGAAGGAAAGAGTACCTGTAAACTTAATGGTAATTCATGGATTCTCGTGGCCAATGTGCGAATCTCTCTGTCAGACAAAATGCCCGACTGGTCCGTATCAACCTCATCGAAGATCTGAGAAATGTTCAGTGGCTGGACTGCACTCATAAGATAGTAGAAATATGAAAAAGCAAACTGCATATCTTCTGAGTGCCGCACTTTATGAAATGATGTCTTGTCAAACTCCTCAGGAAACCTATGTAAGAATGTAAACTAATTTAGTACTCCAGTTTTGTGAAGTAAAACATTCCTTACCTAAAAACAAATTCTCATCTAGAATTTTAAAAGGTCCTCAAAAGTCTCCTTATTTTAGCACAACTATCATGTTGTAATAAATTCCCTATTTCCCTTTTCAAAATATAATTTTAATGAGTAGCCATCAACACATTGGAAATAGCTATAGCAAAGCATCAATAAAAAGGTAGAATTACCTACAGTTTCACATTACTCTAAACAAAGACATACTTACATATCCTGTAGCTCTTGCATAACAGTGCGGTCAATCATGTGAGGCATATGAGCAGGGACTTTCCGAGATGTAAATCCAAATTTGCTGTTTAAAAGCTTATTTACATATCGAAGGGAATCAGCAAATGTATCTTTCAGCTGCCTTCCAAAATGTTTACCATCAGTAAAGTATGACATTTGTTTGAGTAATGACTCTTCTTCCTAAACAGCAGGACAGGCATAAATCAAGGTTACATTACAGAAAAAGACCAAAAACATTAAACACACAGGAAAAATGACATTTAAGCCAGGTGTCAACTCTTTCCAATATTTGAAAATGGGAAGAGAAGTTTTGAATATTTTTCTTCATATTCCTTAGTTCTCTCTTTAAAAAAGAAAAGTTAAACAGTAACCTTTCCCTTAAAATTTTCATGCTTTGAGGAAAAGCAGTCTATAAAAAACTTGCTCAATACTTGTGCTAAGACACCTCACACACACCAAAATCCCTGTTTGCTATCACGTTTATTTGTAATACTGCCTTCTTTTTGCTGATTGTTCATCCATATTTGATAAACTGAAATCCCATGAATATAAAGATTCCTCATGCAAAATCCAATATCAGATGAACAGAGAGGTAGTCTTTCAAAAACATAGCTGCTTTGCTATTTGGAGTAGTGTGAAGCAGTTGCTACCAACTGAACACAGTCTTTATCTTCTCTTCTACAGGTTTTCAAAACTGCCAAAATACTTTGGCTGGAAGCAGAGGAAGCTTCTTACACACTTGCTTGACATGGTCTGGATATTCAGTTTTGTTGGCAGATTTTCAATTTAACTTCTAGAACCCAAGTACTTACCATTATACTTTTTTTTTTTACATTTTTTTTAATAAACTGGATCCATTTGCATAAATGCAATCAAAACAAAATTTAAGCTTTCTGTTATAGTGCTATGTCTGAACAATAGTACCGTGCCAACATACAATGAATAAAAAGTGAATCTGACAAAAAAAAAAAAAAAAAAGCAGTAGAAAGGGAACAGAAATGAGTATTTACCACCTAGCTAAGAGACGCCCAGATCATAAACAAACTAGATTTTATGTGAAAAGTCAAAAGGAGCTCTCAGTATTTGCCTCAAAGGCAAGACACAATACAAATTTATAGATCATATTAACAGCATTCCACTAAATACACAAAGATGCAATTATTCCAATAAGCAATGACTTCAAGATACTCACATCAAGAAGGTCCTGGAAATACTTCTTTTTCTCCCATGGCAAAAAGCCTTGGTAACTTCCAGCATAAGACTGTAATTTTCTTCCCACTAGCCCCTCCCTTACATTTATATCCACCTGCGCACGCCCTTTTCCTCCTTCCATTCCCTGTGCATCTTCTCCAGTATCTAAATTCCCAGTATGTTTTGATTTCTGGGTTTCCCTTAATATGAGTGCATTCAGTACTTTTTCTCGAGTTTCATTTTTATTTCCCATGCTCTGGGCTGGAAGTGTCGATTTAGGCTTTCCTTTATAAATAGGTTTATTTGTGTTCATTGTCACAACAGTCCCCTTTGTTCCTGTAAGCCTTGAAGGAACTTCTTCATTTGCTTTCATTGTTTTTATTTTGCCATCGTTTACATCTTTATAAGGCTTCTGCCAGCTGCTATGGTTCTTCTGATCTTCTGAACGATTAGGCATGCCCTTCTTTTCCAGGCCTATAATACTCTTTACTGTAGTTAAGAACTGGAAAGGTCTCAGGAGAGCGGCCTTGGATAGGTTAAATCCTTTCTGAGTTATATCACCGTTCAGTAGTTTTAAATCCAGGTTCTGCAGTGCTAGCTGAACATCTTCAGGAAGGAGAGACACATTTACTGATGGTATTATCACCTCTTCATGTAGACTCTCTTTTGTGCCATTTCTATGTCTCCTAACTCTTGGAAAGCGTTTTTCTTCAGGAATATCCTCAAATATCATTTCAGCTTCTGGTATTGAAGTTGTAGTTTTAAAATCAGAGTTGGATTTTTGCATAGAAGTTGTGTTCAGTTTTGGTTCCTCTCTAGTATCAACTTCAACAGCTACCTGCATTTTAAACTCCTCATCGTTTTTATTTAGAAATGTAAGGTTAAAATAGATCACAGTTGCATTCATGCCACTATGCATTATGAGGTGGATAGTCTTCCATTTGTTAGCAACTGAAGCGTGTCGAATAATTGGATTATCACTATATGAACCCTCAATTCCTTTCTTGGCTATTTCGCTGAAGCTGAAGTAGGGCAGACATTCACCTTTGGGAATAACATAGTAGGTCTGATTAAGCTGAAGCGTCACCTTGTACATCTCTTCGAAGTGATCTGGGAAAAAAAAAAAACAAACCAAGAAACAAAACAAATTTCTGTCAATTTGCAGTGTGACACTTATCTTTCAGTCATTTTAATTGTTATATGCCCAGCCAGATTCACTATATTAGCAGGGAGACAGCTTTGTGAAAGAACACTTACTGCAGCTTCCAGTTTCTTGCCCACCTATCTTTAATAATGAATGACTAGAACATACTCAGATATATAAAGCTGCCAGACATTCCAGTGGTAATTCTAAAAGCGAGTGTCATTTATCACTCTTTCAGTCTCTACCTGAAGAGCTTAAGTGGCTTATTATCACGTCACTTACTTATGAATGATACATAATTTTAACATGCCCATACTACATTTTTGCTACATTTTAGTAGATTAATGTTACAATGGTTGGATTTCACTACTGCACTGCATCTTGAGATTTCCAAAATCAGATAGGCTGAATCGAACTTACCCCTCCCACAGCAGAAGACAGATATCTGTCAGCTTTCACATGAACAAAACCTCACTGCCAGTAATGGAATTGCCAGTAACACATTTGTCTAAGCTGAGATGCAGGGGAACCTCTATTCTTCCAAACAGGCCAAATTCTTCCATTTCTGTTCCCCTGCCTATACCAGACAGCACTCTCAATCACTTCATTCACTCTTTCTAGTCTTTCATTTCCAAATAAACTTCAGCCAACTTCACAGGTGACTGAAAGTAGCCTTTGGCAAGAGCCCAGGGCCAGGCTTGAGCTCGTGCTGTCAGCATCAGATTGGTTCTTTAATTTCTTAACCACTATGAGCACCATCAAGTCAGCTGCCCTTATTCGGAAAAAGACTGTTTGCATAGCTGAAATACAATTTCTCCATTTAAAATGTAACCCTGCTGTCCCAAGGAGTTTGATGCTTGCTGCTCTGTAAAGTATCAAGCACCCCACCCATGCTTGGTCAATAATGGTTTTATTAAATAAAGCAGCATATAATATTGATTCAGGTTTGGATTAGTGAATACAAGAAGCATCTGACTTTTTTTCAGCTGCTGGCAGCTCTTTTCCACAACTCTTGTACAGGGCATTTTAGCCCAATCTGAGAGTAGCAATGAACCAAGAAGTTCAGGCAATTCAAGACAATCCCTACAGAAAATTTATCAGCGATGTATCTTACATACCTTGGCCACAGTCACCAGCATCAAATCCGCAGGAGAGGACATTGCAGGCCTGATCACAGAATTTGTCTGCTAGCCAGGAATTAGCACAGCCTTGGTTACAGTATGAAACACCACTTATTCCTGCACCAAATTGCCATGGTGGTCCATTCCCGATACCTCCAACTGCACCTCCACCAGCAACATAGCGACTACCCCCACTGTTACCTACAGGGAAAGAAAAAAAAAAAAAATCCTAGTTATTTGAAATCCTTATTTCTGAAGAAAGGCATATTTTAAGCTGCAGTGTTAAAGCTAGACTGAAAATTTGACAATCTTACTTATCGACAGTGGAATTAAAATGGTGCAAATGCTAACTAGACCTCTGTGAGTTAGTGTACAATCTCACTGTAGAAGTTTAGGAACCAACTTACAATTGCAACAAGAACTCCAACATATTTTGTCTTAGCTTCAAAAAGGCAGGCAGGAAACTGATTTACTTCTTGTGCTTGCAGTCTTGACTTTACAGCCCCCTAGAGTGGTATCACCTCCTCAGTCCAGAAGTACCACTTTGTTTTCCTACCCTGCAGTGCTGAAAATTCCATCTAGGAACTAATGGTGCAGTTTCACAGTCCTGTTATTATTTGGATTCTGAGTCCAAATAATATATAGTATTTTTTTAATGCATTATACAATAATATATAATGATAATCATAATTTGAATTTCAAAACCCTTCCTTTCAGCTAGTCAAATTTGGTACCCAAAGATTTTCCTATGCCCTACTATTTGTTGTCATTTTCCATAGAAATTTGTAGTTTGCAAGAAATAAGGTTTTCATCTGTAATAAAGGAGGCAAATTTTGTAGTTACAGGAGAATGACAAATTGCAGAATTAATCTTATAAGAAAAAGCAAACAGTTCACTTTTTCTAAATTTAACATTGCTGTCTTACCAATGCAATCACCTCCATCCCAATCACATGCTGAGTTATTACAGGCTTTATCACAGTAACCATCTTTAATCCATGAGCCAGGACATCCCTCAGCACAGTTTGGCACAGGCCAAGTCAAATAAACCTGGAACAACATTACAGTCTGAGACAAGGACTGGGAAATAGAAGTCAACTGAGCTAATTTCTTGGAATACAGAGACTAAAATAATGCCTCCCTGTGTATAATGCCTTAAGTATTCATAAAGCTTTACAAACAGCTTTTAAACCCTACCATCTCTGAAGTATTTATTATCCTTTTCAAACAGAAGGAAGAACTGAAGATTCCCAAGGCCATACAGCAAGGCAGCAATGGCCAGAAATAGAAAGCAGGACATCCCAAATCCACTTCCGCAAACCATATTCCAATGAAAATTAAAATTTTATCTTTTCTCAGATAAGAAGGAACTTAAACTCTGAAATAGCCCTGCAGTTCACTTGTTCTCCTGACTCAAAATGTTTCTTCATTACTAACCAGTCATGAGATAAACAGCACATGTTGAACATAATCCCTGAAGCATCTGATCCTCTATGACTTAAATAATTCTAAGAATTGCCAAGATAAAAAAAAAGTGTGTGGGGGTGTGTATTTTCAACTGGGGAAGCATTAAAAACCACACACGTTTTCCTTTAGGCCTTACTGTTTCAAGATTTTAGCAGCACATTGCCTACTGAAACACTTACTGATCAGGCTATCACAAACAACATTGCACCTAAGCTGACTTTATCATCATAACTGAGAAGAATAACTAAAGAAAAATAGAAATACACTAACAATAAGATTTTGCAACTATATGCCTACATTCTTAAAGATTTAAAACAACTAAAACCCTCCTAACATCCTCAAGCACCAAAACAGTAATTTTAGGGTAGCTTAAACTAATTTTGTACAACCCTTCTGCGTGTGTACACAAGCGTACACATCTGCCTGCATGAAGTGCTTAATTCCGTGGTCTCTAGTGTCTTGTGCACTTACTGCTTTAATATAAATAATGAATATACATCTTAATTTTTTCCTCCGTATCACTCTTGTAGATCAAGCTCATGGATGAAAACTGCCGGCAACCAGAGTCTTTATGCATGAGCATTGCTAACATTTCCCTCAACCTGCATGCCTTGCTTTACCCTAGTTGTTGATAAGTCTGTTGAAAGACTAAATTCCTTGATGTTCATCAACATGAAACAATATATCTTAATAAATAATTATATATATGA